TAAATTACTCACAGTAAAGCTGCTGGTGGTATCTGATAGCATCGACTGAGACCCAAGTGCTCAAGATGTGTGAGCTGGTAGAAGTACTGAAAGCAATCAGGCTTCAACATAACACTGTCACTGTAATGAAAGTATTTAAGTATATTTTACACACATATAAAATCTAACAACATAAAAAGAAACATTTAGCGCAAATGTAATTCTGAATTTATGAATTCAAGTTAATTTTGTTATCAACAGTCATTTTTGTTGTCAAACTCAACTATGTAGAAACTGGGTTTATGCAAAGACACAAAATAATGACAGGCTATTCCTGTTTATTTAAAAGTAGTTTGGAAATCAAGTGTGCTGCATGTAATGCACTCCTAGGGTTGAAAGAAATCCCATTTGAAATACTAAATGGCTCTCTTCCATTAATATAAAGTAACAAGATGTCATTCCTATTTGTCAGGCTGTGTAAGCTTTTGTCTTGATTTTGGGATACTAGGAATGGGAGTCCTGTCAGCATGAAGTAAGAGTCCATAGTTGTTTAAGCAGCAGGATTTCCATGTACTCCCCGCTTGAGATCTCACTAGCCATCTGACTGCATAAATCTGCAAAGTAACTAGGTGCCAAATATTTATTCCCCAACCCTTTTTATCAGCACTGACTTCCTAGTTTTGTCAAGGGGGCAAAAACTACTTTTTGAAGTAAAAAGATGTGAACCAAGGGCCTTGAAAACCTTACAAACCTTACACCATTCATCTTCTGCAACTGTATGTAGATGAAGCCTGCCATAATCTCCTTTTCACAGGTGACATATCTAGAACCAAGATTTAAATCTAGGACTCAAATTCAAGGATTTCAGGCTCTAGCTGAGGAATACGTAAGAATGTATCTTCAGATGATGACTGAACTTCCAGCAACCAGCCAATATAGACAATGGTGGAAAATGCTGAGATATAGTCAACTACATCTGGAAGGCAACACTTTGCCCAACCCTTCTGTAGCTGCAGAATTCCTCTTAAATACCACTGCAGCAGATAGAGATGCTTGGACTATTCTTATTCCTGTAAAGCAGGGGTAGGCAACCTAAGGCCTCGGGGGGCCGGATGCAGCCCCCCCCCAATGATATTGATTACTGTTGTTATTACTTTTTCTTGAGTTTTTCTTGGCAAAATCTCCACAGGGGTTTTGCCATGGCTTTTCTGGGGCTGAGAGAGTGTGCATGCATATTTTTTTTAATTTTTATTAAATTTATTTATTATTTATTAAATTAAAATTTATTTATTTTTGGTGCATCAGCCCCCCAATTGTCTGAGGGACAGCAACCCGCCCCCCCAGCTCAAAAAGGTTGCCTACCCCTGCTGTAAAGAGACACCTTCATCTTTCTTCTGTCGGCAAATTTGATCAGACTTGTCGACATACTGCCAGAGCATTTCTGGACAAGAAAATGCAAAATTGTTTCTTCAGAGTGTACAGAATCTTTGTTTCTCCAGATTTATACTGAAGAAAGCAGACAGAAGGAGGCCTAAATATTCCACAGGGACCAGATTCCATCTGATCTTTGAAGCTAATTTTCAGCCTGTTTACTACCTGGATGGTAGACCTCCAAAGAATACCAGGTTCTGTACACTCATTTCAGAAAAAGGCAATGGTAAACCACCTCTCAGAATTCGTTGCCTAAGAAAACCCTATGAAATTCATGAGGTGGCCATAAATCAACAAGTGGCTTGAAGGCACATGGATGCAAATAGAAGGTGTGGAATCCTGGTACTCAGGTCTCATTGAATTCTATGGGACAAGGGTAGGGGATCTTTAATCTACAGATGTTTTGGACTTCAGCTACAAGGAGCTGCAGTCAGCATAGCCAATGGTATTCTCTTCATCTCTTCTCATTTATATCCCAGTAAGAATTTTTCCCAGCTTTAGGCTGAAGCTAGTTTTCCACTGACACAGAGGCTCTCACAGATCTAACTTCCTGTATTATATCTTTTACCATATATGCTCTATAGGACATATATGGACATGTTGTACTTTAAAGGTATTTTTCCAGGTCACAAAGTTGGCAAATGAATAGCCTAGCCTGGAACAACACTATTGCTTTAGGTGAAGGGTATAGGCAGGCTTTGACAAATATTCTCACCAAGTCAAATATGAAATCTTTTCCTGGCAAGCATGATGAGTAAAATGCTTCCCCCCCAAAAAATAAATAAATAAATAAATAAATAAATAAAAATCTGAAGCTGTAGAAGTGACCAGGGATCATTATATTTATTTTAGTGACATCTCTTCCAACCCAGGCCCAAGGTTGGGAAACAGAATTGAAAACAAACTTCCTGCTTAGGTTGTGAAAATCTGGCCCTTTTTGTTATGTTTCTTAGAATACTACTGGCATTCTTGTGAAGTACGCATGTGCTTTCAGTTGTACTCTTGCAACCGATACACTGGATAAATTCATAGAAACAAAATCTTAATGCAAACTTTTTTCCATTCCATTTCTCATCTCTCCTGGAGCCAATATTCAGCTGTCTCTAAAAAGCAAAAATGCACCCCCCACCAGTTCTTTGCTTTAGAACAAAGGCACCTGCTGCCAAACCAATAAATTCCTTAATTTATTCTTTAGAGGAGTACTTCACCAAGATACAAACAAGGTCAAATTCTTACCTCATGTCTAAATGGACCAAGTTGGGACACCGCTCTAGTAATGTTTTAACATCTGAAATGATAAGTCAAATACAATCAGCTGATCATATATTAATAAGTAGAACATTTTTCATCTAGAAGTACATCTCCATAAGTTCTACTACTGTTTTATTTTTAATGTTTATATCAATTTAAATTATTTTTTGGAAAAAAATTGGAAGAAATGTTCTCAGCTGACTTCTTTCCCATGTTTATTAAGGGAATAAAATATAAATGTGTATATCTATATACTTGGAATGACTGAGTCTTTTGACCTTAATGGAGAAGTCAATATAGGTGGGGACAATGTCTATGTACATATCTTATTTCCTCTGCTCACAGTGTTCACTACTTTGGATAGGTGAACTAGAATTTGGATTAAAGCAATATTTAGAATCCTTCCATTTAGTATATTTTTAGTATTCTTCTTAATACTAAAAAAAGACAACCCTTAATTAGCTTTTGAGTTATTCCAGATGACTTCCAGGGTGAATGATATACCACTTCAATTGGATGTTCAAGCTAGAATCTTACCTGACATCAGCAGATTTTGTCTGTATCCACTGATATTCAGCTGTGTTACTTTTGAAGGAATATGATTAACTGCTGCTCTCACATGATCTGCTGTGAAGTCACACCAGGACAAATTCAATTCATCTAGGCTGTCCACATTTGGGGGAAAAATCATGTAAAGCCGTGTATTAATTAATTATTTAGAAGGCATCTGAAATGTTCAGGCAGGCATGAAGAACCACTGGACTTGTAGATGTGTTGGACTTCAAAACTCTAGAAGTCCCAGCCACTGTGGCTAACACTAAGGAACTGCAGGAGTTTAGTCTAAACTAACTGGAAGGCTAAAGGTTCTTTATCCCTTCAGTACATGTTACATAATACTAAGAAAAGGCAACCTTGTCCAAAGGCTTACAATCGAAAATTGAAGATAAGATGCATATGGATTTAAAAAGAAAAAACCAGATCCATCTGATGAAAATGAGGGGCAGTAGATAGATCATTCACCAAAGCAGACTGCTGCCCAGAGCTGTTTATAGGATTTGTTGCCACAAGTTGTGCTGATGGGTACTAGTGTAAATGGCATTTAAAGGGGTAAGATCAGCAGCTACCAGCCAAACACTGTTTTCACAAATAGATTCCAGATAGCTGTTTGCCATGGAATACCAGTTGCTGGGAAGAAACTACTGCAGCTGTGGCCTGTCTACGGGCCATATGCTCCCAGACATTCCTATGCCCTATGTATGTCTATTTGGTGTACAATGGCCAAGCACATTCCCAGAAGCTTCCAGGGGCAATAGCTGGCTAATTGAAAGCTAAATGAATCTAGGAAAGCCTATTTTAGGCCTCAAATAGCCTTTATTCTATCTGGTCATTTTTGGTTTTAAAAATGGGAACAGGATAACCCATCAAAGTCCAGGGGAAAGGGAATGGAGCATTTCTGGCCCTAAGACCCTGGCACTGTCTATCCTGAATAAGGAAAACACAGTACAGGCCTGGTATGTGCAGTGGGACACTTCTTTAAGTCATAAATTCAAATTAGAATTACTACTGATCTAGCAGTACCAGATGTCAATGTTCCAATCACACTTAGTATATGAGGAAATGGGAAAGAGATCTGGACTATTTTGTACCTAGCAAGAGGTGCTCCTCACCTTTAAAGTGATCAAATGGTCTAAATCAGAATTGAATGTCCACTTTAAAAATATATTAAGAATGAACAGGTTGAGTGAAAACTGATGCATGCCTACAGAAATAATATGTATGTAACCGCCATTACACCTCCAGAATAGTTAGTTGCATAGTGGGCTATTTTTGTTTTCCTTTTCAAGGCCAGCAAACAGCTAACCGTAAAGCCTACTTGTATTTAAAAGGCAGGAGGACATATAAGTGAAATGGAAATAAACAGTAAGTTATATCTCGAGATTATATCAACAAATCTAGTAGGAGCACACTGGGGCAATGCTAAGCTAATGTTGTTTCTCCCATAATTCAATGCACTTTAACTACCTGGAACAGCTGTTCAACATTGTCACTAAGGTTTCTGCAGAAAATCCAGAGCATCCACATAGATTCAATCGTACCAAGCTGGAGTTCTGTGCTATACTTCTGAGAGAGGGAAAAAACAAAACAAAAGGAGAGGGTCAGAACACTTCTGGAAAAATTATTATTTGTTTTCTGTTGTGAGCCTTCAAGTCATTTTTGACTTATGGTGACCCTAAGGTAAACTGATCATGATGCAAGATCTTTTCAGAGGGAGTTTGCCTTTGCCTTCCTCTGAGGCTGAGAGAGTGTGACTTGCTCAAGGTCACCCACTGGGTTTCCATGGCCAAGCAGGGATTCAAACCCTGGTCTCCAGAATCAAAATCCAATGCTCAAACCACTATACCATCCTGGCTTTCATTATTCATTTATATCCCATCTTTTCTCCAATGTTGGACTCAAAACGGCTTACAAATTTAAAAAGTATACATTAAAATAAATAAAAACTATCAGTAAAAATACATAAATTTATTTTTAAAAGGCAGCCATTTAAAAAATCCAGTAAAAGACGGATGGTAGAAAATAAGACACCATGCAATTAAAAAACCTATTACATTCAATTTCTAAAAGTTGGTTGGAACAGAAATATTTCACTAGCTGGTGGAAGGGTAGTAAGAAGCAAAGCATCATAGTTCCCTACTAGGGAGTGAGTCCCAAAGCCTAAGAGCAGACACTAAGAAGGCCCTCTCCCTTTTCCCCACCAAATGTGTCTGGCAAGGCGGTGGGACTTAAAGGATCTCCTGAAAAGACTTGAGAAATCTGGACATGCTCATATAGGAGGAAGATACCTCCTTCAAATAGCATAGACCCAAGATGCATCGGTCTTTATAGGATATAACCACCACTTCTTGGTAGCCGGCCCTAGTTAGCAATCTGGCTGAAGCTCTTTGGACCAACTCAAGTTTCTGAGCCCCTTTGAAAGGCAGCATCACACAGGGTGCATTATAGTAATCCATCAGAAAATAACCAAGGCATGCCACCATGAATCTAGCTGCCCAATCCCTCTGTGTCAGCATAAACGGCCCTAAACGTACTGTGGACTAGAATCATAAGCAATGGACAAGAGCATGAAAACTGAAGCAATGGAAACTTAAAAACAAACAAACACAACACTACCATTGCAGCAGGCTGCACCGCCCCACTGTTAATTCCACTGAGCACTTCTGATTTCAGGTAGTTATTGAGATAAAGAATGATTTGGGAATGCTAAAGAGCTTAGATGCATGGAAAGGTAAGCTGATGCTCTTGCCATTTTCCAGTTGTTTTCAACTGGAAATGCTGCCTAATTTTTAAAACTAGGGAAATTAAGGAAATCTGACAAACCAGCACAAATATCCTTAGGCAGCAATTAACGAGCTGGGTCTCACTGCTCAAAATGCTAGGCGGATTCCACTAATCCTTGCATCTCTGAGATGAGGCCAGTACCAATAGTACAAACATAAACACGATAAAAATTTCTTGTGCAGAACTTTAAAGAATTTTTGCTCACTTACTCAATTATATCATCAGCGAGTACAAGCCCTTCCAAGCTGAGGTTTTGCAGGCTCTGACATCTACTAAGGATACTTTGGAGATCTGAAGCTTTCATTGTACAGTTGGATAAATCCATATGTTGCACCCGAAGGGATCTGAATCCATGTTGCACACGAAGGAGCCCACAAGAGAGAGAGAGAGAGAGAGAGAGAAATCCACACACACACAAAATGGATTGTTAACACAGATTTTTTTTAAAACAACACAATCAGAATGTTCACACATTCAAAACTGTCTGTTTTGGAATTCTTGAAGAGCATACAGAGAAAATTTGTGAGATCTGTTCATATTTTAAGCTGCTTCATCAACTGAGAATGCCTCAAGAAAGATGGAAATGCTGGTGAAATTTTAAAATTTGCAATATTTGTTTCCATATCAAACCTTCTTTATCAAAATAAAATGTAACATTTATAATTTTATTAACACATACAATTGGATTGTGTATTATACACACAATATTTAAAGAGCAATCCTTTATATGTTTATTCGGAAGACCCATTCTATTAAGTGGAGATTACTTCTACCTAAGTGGGCACAGAATTAGAATCTCAACTATATATGCCTTTATTTTGTATAAGCAAAACAGCAAATATACTGCAGGTAGGGAAACTTCTGGAACTTATGCTACCTAATCACACATATCCCAATTTTTACCATTTTACAGGTAGGAAAAAACAGAAATTGAAAACATAATCTACACATTTTATAGGAAACAAAAGTGTTTCCTATAATCACATACATTGGAACATTAAGGACTAGCAGCATGTTTGGATATCAAATTCAATTTTAATACCAGATTGAAAACACTGTATTCTTAAACAGTGTCTAGGCTACTGTACAAGCTATCTGTGTTACAGACAGAGCAGGACTGGTGAAAAGATGACTGGGGAAAAAAAAAGAGAGACCAGATCCAAAGGAGAGAAAATCTAAGAGGATTCCAGCATCTTCCAGCTAGATCAGAAGAGAAAGGCAAACAGCAACTTGCAATAAAATGAACTGAATTTTCTCATGAAATTCATGAAGCTGGCAGCACTAGTTGGGTTAGGAAAAGGAAACATTGGCTACCACCACTACCCCATTTTAGACTAAAACTTCTACAATTTCTTACCATTGGCCCTGCCAGAATAGACTGATGGGAGTTACAAATGAAAACTTCATGGAGATGCAATTGAGTACCACTTTTGTTTACATATACTACAATGTATACTGGTGTGTCAAAGCACAGTCCTAGGGCCAAATGAAATCCTCAAGGCCCTAGGTTCATCCTGATGCCTTAGGCTGCCCTTTTTTTAGCCAGATAAAGGGCAAACTGCTGTTTCTGAAAGCTTCCAGTGGCAATTTGCCTTTTAAATAAATCACAGGACCTACTGAACATCAAAAATTTTTCTTTTGAAGACCAGGTATGGCCTTCTAGTCACATCAAGTTCTGGTTCCTCATACCTTTTTCAGGATTTTTTTGGCAGTTTATATGACTTTTGCAGGATCTTGGGGACAGAAAACTAGTTCACAGATCCACCACATTTACCCATCCAGGTGCAGACCCAGTAATTACCATGATCTATCATAAATTGCCGCATATAAAAGGAAAAAAAAAAAACCTCTTAATTTTTTGTGGAAGTTAAACCTTGGCCTAAGAAACATTTTGCTTATTCCAAAAGAGAACACATTTCAGTTCTGTATGTCCCTTCCAAACGGAAAAGCATTCCTCAAGAAGTGGGGAGAGGGGAGTAATTTCTTTTCAGTTTTTACAGATCTTCAGATCTCTAGGTATGCATTGCAGTTGTGAATGATTTCCCCACTTTAAAAAGAATCTTTGCAACAGAAAACTGTAACATCAGAGAGAAGGGTTCTAGATCAACCTACTCTCTGCTGTGCTCTTATAGGAAATGCTCCATTTGATTGTTTTACAGGTGGAACAACTGTAACCCCACCTACAATCTGAACTGGAAAAGTTCATTCTGCCAGTTTAGGGCTTTACCACTTCAATACCACCTCATTTTGTTGCAGGTATCACATGCAACAGGCATGTTAGGCTAGAGTCTCTTTCTTCCCCAAGGCCACACAGCAAGCCTTGGGATTCAACAAAGATCTGATTCAGAAAATGTAAGAAAACTTTTTGAAAAGATAATTTGATTCAGAACATGATTACCTGTTTGTTTTAAATGAAGGGTTCCCAATGCAAGACCTCGGACAACGGAAGGCAGTTATACCCAGCGGCAGCAACTGACCAATCACACCTGGCAACAGATTTCTACCTGCGAGATCAAGAGTCTGCCAGAGTGACTCATCAAGCCTAAAGGGAGGACGTTAGTTTAGTAGTTAGCAAACAAATCAAAATTTAAGGAGAAACAAGGTTGAAATAGACAAGCTCTTAGCCACGTTTACATAGAAATAAGCCCCAACAAGTCCTATAGGGCGGGCTTCCCATATGCGGACTTGATGTCACGTGGACAGCAAGCCTAGGAGAGGCGCACACAGGCATTGTTTTCAATGGGACTTAAGCATACGTGGGTTTTGCCATAAGCGTGGGGGGGTCCGGAATGGATCCCCCATGTATAAAAAAGGCCCACTGTAGTGAGCCATTTAGGACTATAGCCTAAGTTTGAGAGGAAATTAGCAGCTCATTATTGGCTTTAAAGTTCACATAATCACAATGTGTAACACAATGGTAACCTCAAGACTGGACTATAGTAATGCACACTTTGTGGGGCTGCCCTCCAAGTTGTAGCTAGTATGGATCACTCTAACTAGGTTACTGGCTGGTGTGTCATACTGTGTATGTATTAGATTCTGTTCTAAAGGATCTACTCTATTTACTAGTCTGCTATTCAGCTGGGTATAAGATCGTGATATTAGTACAGAACAGGGGTCAGCAACCTACGGCCCGCGTGCGGCCTGTGGAGGCCTTGGGACTGGCCCATGGCTGGTCCCGGCACGCCGGGCGTGAGAGCCATTTTTGCGTCCAAAATGCCACCCGCACTTGCACACGCATGCGCCCGGCACCATTTTGAAACGCCCAACGCGCCAGCATCGTGTGCATTATGCACGACTCCTGCGCGTTGGGCATTCCAAAATGGCACCTGTCGCCAGGCACATGCGTGCGCACAGCAGCAGGCACCATTTTGGACGCAAAAATGGCGCCCGCGCTCTCACGCGCATGCACCCGCAAGCATGACCGCCATTTTGGAAGGCCCCACGGTGGCTGCGCCGTGCGAATTTGCATGGCACAGCCGCTATGGGGCCTTCCCTGGGCCTTGGGAACGCCCCCCCCATATGTGCGCCGTGTGAATTCGCCTGGCGCACGGGCCGAGGGGTGTTCCCAAGGCCCAGGGAAGGCCCCCCCGCCCATGCGCCGGGTGAATTCGCACGGTGCACGTGCGGGAGGGTGTTCCCAAGGCCCCCCCATGTGCTGGGTGAATTCACATGGTGCACGCGCGGGAGGCCGTACCAAAATGGCGTTCCCCACGCACGCACACATGCGCGCGTCAGCAGGCGTTGTGCACATGCACGCAAGGGGAAGTGCTCGCGTGCACAAGCGCATTCACACCCACCCACGCCATTCCCCCCCCTCCCGGCCCCCGGCAACAAAGGGTGCCGACCCCTGGTATAGAAAGTCATATACAACTCAGAATCAATTTCCCTCTAGTAATATCTCCCCGATGCTAACATCTAAGGTCACCATGATCTTCAGGGGAGGTCTCTCTTATTTTGACTTAAAAGGCTGAGATATGAAAATCACATTCCAGGCTCAATGCTCACTCTTTAATCAGTTGGGCACATGCAGCCTTCATGATGAACATGGCGCCACCCCCATCCAGACAA